ACTTACTTACTTACTTACTTACTTACTTACTTACTTACTTACTTACTATAGCTTTTAAATGACCTCAGTCAGATTAATTTTGATAAGCTCAACAAGCTAACAGCTAACTTAAGTAGGGCAAAAATCAAAAAGCCTGACTGTATTCTTAAAATAGCCTCCATCTCAAAAATGTAAAAGCAGTTCATACGGTCCCTATTTCATAAGTGTTTATATCACAGCCCATTTTGCATTGCATGGCTATTTTAGTCGAGTTCTATAATTATTTGYAAATGTAAACAGCACCGACAGCTAACTGTAGTGCATCTCTGGCAGAAATATCAGAATAGTTTTCTTAAAATAAACATGCATTGCAAACCTGACAGAAAYGCAAATGTTTCTGAAACACTGACTGCATGAACTGCAAAGACAATTTGGAGATTAGAGTTCGACAGGAGCAACAAGCAACAATTAGACGGGAGCAATCCACTTTGGTCTTGGCACCACTCAGACTAGTTAGCTCATCAATCCGGTCAGAATTAAACCAGGTTTTTCCCAAAGTGAGGTCATTCAAAGAGCTATTCACAATGAAGAGCGGTTAAATGCCCATWACTTTTCACAAAACGCCACTTTAAAATACCTGCAATACCCCTGTAGCAGGGGTCTGCAACCTGAGGCATTAGGGCCACATGTGGCTCTTTGGTCCCTCTGCAGTGGCTCTTTGAAAATGTAACCAAATATAAAATATTTTTTTTTGTTTTTTATATTTACAACAGAAGTAAACTGTATGCAAATATTTGATGAATACTACAAATACAAAAAGTAAAACACGTTGTTTAGCTAATGCTAGACTGTTGTCTACCTAAATAATCCAACTTCTTTCCATGATCTTTCTCTCAAATCAATCAGGGTTATCTTTAAACACCTTTAAGACTACATAACAATAAGAATTTGAAAATAAAATGTCTGAATAGTTCAGTTGTACTTGTTTTTATCAAATTCAGTATAAACTATGTATAGTGTTTTTCTTGTCCATAAATGTGTTTTTCTTTTGTCCTGAAGTTTAAAAAATATAGATAAATAATAAAATTCACAATATTTTTAATTGTTTTACAATGTCACCTCCACTGGCCGTAAAGGTTCACAAATGGGCCTCGAAAAGGCCCAAGGACCACCAGTTGATAATCACAGTTGTAGCTTATTTTGTGGATTAGTGAGCTGAGGAGCAGAAATGGCTCTTCTGATTGCAAAGGTTGCAGACCCCTGCCCTWYAGCAATAAGTGTCAGAACAAACGATCTGAATCCTTATGGCAGCACTAYATTCTTAATTTTGGTATTATTAACATTGTTAACAAAGCACTCCAAAAATCAGAATTAGGTCTTGCATTTTAAGTATTGGTATCTTTAATGAGTCTGACATGACAAATGTTGAAGACCTTAACTTTGTTTAGTTAAAAAAACAGCCACATTTCTAGCCTGGACTGCTGCAGAAATCCAACAAAACAACACAATWAAGAAGCAGCAAGTTGTATCACTTGCCATTACTTAAGGAATGGTAGCAAGAAACAGAAGTACTGAATGAAATAGAAAGAAGGGCAAAGCTATTTCTTTTTAAACTGGGGTGGGAGACTATGGAGGGTCATCTCATTGCAGAAAATACTGTGTCAGCATTGGATCAATTAGAATTAGAAAGTAGCTTATTTAGTGTTCACCGAGTCTTTACATGCCGATTGTTGATGAGAACAAGCACTAAACAACAAAGCAACAAAAACCCTCAGAAAGTAATACCACATCTGCAGAGACAGCAGAAAGAAATCAGCGAAGGCCCAAAGATAAGGACCGAGGAATGCATCACGAAACAATTTAGAGCTCAAACTTTTGTTTGTTTGTTGATGCATTCCTCTTCTTCCCTTCAAGATTTTAGAGTTAAAAAGAAATCATTATAAGGCGCATTTGTMTATGACAAAGACTGAATACTCAATTAAACAATATAAAATGCTTGTGCAGAAAAGGAAATAGAAGCCCACATAACAAGTTTACTCCATTAGAGCCCTGACAGACAGTACTGTGTTAATATGTGAAGAATAGATGAGGTTTAGAACTTTTCCTATTTGAGTTTTTGTTGAAATCACCAGTGAGTAATCCAAGCTTTGACACAGGAAAAACAGGAAAGAGAAGAAGAAAAGTAGGTAGTTCTACAAAAATAAAACGCTCAAAACTGCAGGCATCCCGCTGTTCTATTTCGAGCCTAAATTGTTGAAAATGTTCAAAATTTCTGCAGCTTAAAAACAGAAATACACATTTTGAAGTGACAATGGCCGATTTTTGTAAATGTGTTTATTTGTGGGCTGCTGGTTGAGTTTTTGAAAGAATCATACACACATATACAGTATGACCAATTGTTGCGCAATTATTTTTGTACATAAAATGCTTGCTTATGTTGCATGTGTCAGAGCTAAAGGAAAGYGATCCTGGTCTGCCATGTCTGAAGKAATCAGTAACTGAATGGTCTGAAAACGAACTGGCAGATGTGTGCAACCAACCTTCAACAGCCCTCTTGAAGAACACCTTGCAGCTGCCGCAGGTCACCACCCCGTAGTGGCATCCTGAGGCCTCGTCCGAGCACACCAAGCAGACCTTTTGGCCCTGCCCACCGGGTTTGGACTGGCCTGACACCACAGTRCTGCTGGGCTCTCCGGTCCTGGTTGACGTGCTGGAATATACACAAAAAGCAGGAAAGGGGGAGAAGGAAACGTTAAAAGAAGTGCAGGAAAACAGTGGGAGCATCTGTAGCAAACACRCCGCAGAGGCCTGGTTTATAGGTAAAAATAAAATATTTTGTGCTGTTGTTAAGAGACATGAAAATTCTCCTGATACATCTGGCTTGCAATGAAAAAATGTTCTTTGCAAAGTGGAGTATTTCTTTAAGGTAGAATATCATTGGGACAGAAGCTTAACTATTTAAATAAATAATGGTGTGATTTAAAGGGGTCCATGATTAGTTGTAACATTAGACCTTATTTAACTGTAATATAAAGACTGCAAAAATACTGTAGGATGTTTGGTTTTTATCATTTTTAAACTAAAAGTTTAAAAAATATATTACAAGGATGGAGCCATTTTATTTACACGCAAAGCATTCTGGTTAAATGATGACGTGGATAGGTCCTCGGTGCGAGGCTGCCAG